ACATCTGATACTTTTCTGCCTTGGTTTGCTCCAGGACATTCACATTTTCCTTAAGAAAACCTAAGTGGTGCGATGGTGAGGGTTTTGTCTTGTTTCATCTGTGGCTCTGTGCATAGAACCCAGATTAAAGCGCTAGTGCCCGTGCGGTAGGCCAATGATCAAGCGCCTGGGAGAACCACCCTAGACCACATGTGGACAGCTGCTTCCCAAGGCCTCTCCTGGGAAGTCCCCATGTGACTCCTGACCCCTGGCCAATACATAGACTGTGCTCTGAACTGGCTGGAGAAGCAGCAGGACCCTGCAATCAGACACTTCTCCTTTCTCCTTTGTCTTTGTTGGCCTTCGTTCCTCAGACGCTTCATTTCTGGAAAACCAACAGAGCCCTGTGCCAGAAAGGTCTGTCCAACCTCCTTGTTATTTCAGCTGTTTTCAAGGTTCTCTAGGAGGATGCTTGGCCACGAGGAGGTCTGTGGGAAGCCAGGGTCAGGTGATGGAGTAGACTTCCAGCACGGGGTTGCTCAGACACTGCTCAGCAGATCTGCAGGTTGCCTTGGTCCATGCCTCTCAACTTAGAGCCTGCTCGGGGGTCTTTTCTCTACCTTCACCCATAAGCAAGCCTGGAAACTAAAGGGAAACCAACCTTTAATGTACCTTACAACTTTGCTTTGTAGTTGAGCTTGGGTTGGGAGTGTAGGTGATAGAATAGCAGCTGCTTAGCATGCAGGAAGGGTCTGGGTTCAATCCCTAGAATCAAAACCTACAAAGTGTGGGTTGGAGAGAACAGGAATTGGTGAGGTTGACTGGCAGGTAAGGTTTCTTCTGCTGCCTTGGGAAAGTGGAGGTCTGGGGATTTGACATTGATACCTGCGTAGGGGACACCTGTCATAGTCAGCCATGCCATGACGGAGCAGACGGACTTTATTTTGCGGCGTGTTGAGATAGTTGGCCCGGTACCTTTCACTGAAGTGAAGAGGAGTGAATGCACCCACTTCTGGGAGGAGAGCTCCTGGCCTGTGTTGGCGCTCATCTCCTTTCCTGTGACACGTGTGTCTGTCCTTGGGTACACACGTGCGTCAAGACCAGAAGTCAACCTCAGACGTCTTTCCTCGGGACACTTTCCACCTTGTTTTATGTAGCAGGGTCTTTCACTGGCCTGGTGCTTGCTAATTTGGTTAGGTTGACTGGCCAGAAAGCCTTAAGGATCTGTATGCTAGGAGGAGAAGCCTGAACCACCACACTAGTCTTTATGTGGGCTCTAGGGAATCGAACTCACGTCCTCATGAGTTTGATCTTCCCAGAACCCATATAAAACTCAGGTACTTTACAAACTAATAATCCCAAACACTTTGGCGCTATCCTTAGCCCTCCTTCCTGAGAGAGATTCATAAAGACCCAGTTGGTCATGCGATGTCCGAAGAAATCTCCAGTCCCCAGGCAGCGCATGGGGCCACTTCTTTAGGACAGAGAAGCTTACACGTGACTCTTTACTGAAGCCTGTGGTTCAAGTCCAACCTTTGACTGTCTAGTTTGTCTCTTCCCTTCAGTTAAAGAAACTAAATACATTCTCAGAGAGGGCTTACATGTCCCCTTGGCAATATGGATGAGAAGAAATCTGCAGTAGTCTGCTGGCTGGAGCTCATTTCCAGTCTATGAACATTCAAAGTGCGGCCTTCATACTTCCTTTTGCAAATCCCCAAAAGAATGTCTTGTCCTGAAACTCCAGAGGAAACCAATCTAGTTAGATTTCCATTTTAATTTTAGCTTCCTTCTTAAATGAATTTCTCCCCCCTGGAATTCTTGCATGGCCAGGTCATCCTGAGTTGGATTAGTGACCAGAAATGAGGCCACACTAGTGCCCTAAGCCAAGCAGCTTTAGGAAGAAAAGCTTCCTGTGGCTGTTGCCCACGGTTTGAAGCCAGGAGGAGGAGGAGGTGGCTGGGAATTAACCAGCAGGTGAGCAAGTGTTTGTTAAGTACTCTCCTTATGCAAGAGTCTTCCAGAAAGGGAGAAAGAAGTCTTTGGGACCTCAAGATCAGCGAATACCACTTGAATCTAATCAAATGCGAAAAGAACTTTTGGGAAGTGGCAGGGCTTGAGTTTCCAAGCAGTTGACTCAGGGAGTCTCCAGATGAGCCATCACCATTGACTGAGACTTCTGTTTGTTTTGAACCATTTCTTTGCTTTTATCAAGAACTTCTAGAATTTATTGTTCCAGTCACCCCATCCCCTGAAGCTAACCAGGCGATTAGCTGGTGGGAATGCCTAGCTACGGAGATGGCTCAGTGGGTAAAGGCGCTTAGCACCAAGCTATGGAGCCTGAGTTTGGTCCTTGGGGCCCACCTGATGGAAGGAGACAACTGAATCCTGCAAGTTGTCTTCCCACCTCCACTTGTGAGTGCCACGGCTTGGGTGAGCACACGCATGCACAAAAGCATGTAATTAGGGTTCCCCCCCTTTTTTCTTTTTCTTTTTCTGAACGGGGTCTCACTATGCAGCCCTGGCTGGTAGAATTTGCTATAGAATGACCTCAACTCATAGAGATTCACTTGCTTCTGACTCCCAAGTGCTGGAATTGAAGAGATACACCACCATGTCTAGCTCACAAAGAAACATAATCTATTTTGTTCCCCTGGAGGACAGTGGCTCATGGCCTTAGTCCCAGGACTCCGGAGGCAGAGGCAGGCAGATTTCTGTGAGTTTGAGGCCAGCCTGATCTACAGAGGAAGTTCAGGACAACCAGGGCTACACAGAGAAACCCTGTCTTGAGACTCCTCCAAACATGCTATTTATTTATTTGTTTGTTTGTAAATAGCATGCAGAAATAGCCTCAGCCTATAGCATTTTTACATTTTGCGGATTGGTTCGTTGACTTCCGTGGGTGAAAGGCTGTGTTATTTGCTCTAGAATTTCAACACTGTGTCACCTTGCAGGTTTAGAGCCTTTAAGTAAAGAAGGAGTGAGTGACTGGACTTTATTCTCAGCTCTGTTTGCTGCCTCCAACTGAAAGTGGAGCCCTGTGTTTCGGAACTTTGTCTGATCTATCGGCTTTGTCCACAGGCGCTGAGTCATCTCCAGTTAGGCCGTGCCGTTTCCTTTGTCTTCGAGGCCTTGAGTCATGATGTTTTGATTCTCCAGCGACATACTATTCCAAGAGGGAACCAAGGACAAATGGTGTAGCTCTCACCTGGGAGCTTGCTCAGATTCAGATCTCAGAGCCAGATGTGATGGCTCATACCTGTAATCCCAGTGTGAAGGAGGTGGCAGCAGGAGAGTCAGGGAGTTGAGGTCATCCCGTGCTTGTGTACTGAGTGTGAGCTGTTTGAGGTCCTGTCTTGAAAAATCAACAAGCAGAAAATGGTCCCAGACTTCCCATTGAATTTGCTTCTCTCTCTCTCTCTCTCTCTCTCTCTCTCTCTCTCTCTC